CTCTTACAAACATCCTGCAGGTCAAAAAAGTCAAATAGCTAAATTTTTGTCTTTTCTGACAATAAAGATTTTTCTCTTGGAGGGATTGTTGTAAATTTTATTTATTTTGAAAGTTTTTGTCAAGGACTGTGCTTTTTTTTTTGTTACTTTTTGCTGGACCTTCTCAGTTTTTCTTATGTTAAACTCTCTAAATGACTGTTGACAGAAAACCAAAACAGTTTAGTTTTAAAATGGTTGATTGTGCATATAAAAATCATGGCAGGACTTTGCTGATTTTTACAGAAAATGAGCTGCTTCTCAAGAATTTACCAAATAAAATGAATTTAAATATTTTTGGTTGATGTATTTTTTTCATGAGCCTGTATACTTTTGGACCTGTGTGAAAAGAATTTGCAAATCAATTCTAACTTATGCTTATGCATTCTTATCACTCAAATTGTTTCCTTTATCCTTGGTCCACCAGAGGAATAAAATTGTCAGATTTTATAATTAAAGCCTAAGAATCGATATTCAATCCATTACAAATCACCACATTGGAGTGCAGGTAGAGTAAGTTATACAGCACCGATGCATATGCATGTGCACATCATGTCTTCAAAGCCCTGTAACCTCTGTTTCTTTTTTTTCCTTTTTTTTTTAAGTAATCTGTTCTGCTATATTTTCTTTACAAAATGAAAATAAAATACTGTTGTTTCTTTCAATGCTGTTCAGCATTTCAAAGAGTGAAGGCCAGGTGCAGCAAGGCCAAGCAGAAATTGCTATTTGGTGATCATAAAATTGCTAGTATGGCTTTAAATACTGCATTTGACATAAAGGTAAAAACAAAATTTTTCTTTATTACACTTGAAAATATTATGTTTTAAAAGATTAATTGTACTAAATTGTTTATCTATAGGTCTGACAGGCCACCTATATTTTATTTATGTCAGAGATGAGTATTAAGGGAAAAAAGGAAATTCCAGTTTTGGTTTTCAGTTCCTGTTTATTGCATATTAGAAAACAAAAATTGTACAAACACAGCACACTGAATGCCTACCGGTATCTACTTTCCTTTCATATGTTCACTCTGAACATCTTGAACGAAGACCTTTAGAGTTCATTGTAAAGGAGAACAGAAAACATAGTTTGTGGTTATTCTTGTTTACTCTCCGTGAGCTGCTCCCTGGAGGCCTCATTTGAAATCTGCAGGAAGGGAGTGCTGATCTCACCCGACTGCAGGTCACTGGCCACCCGCAGCAAGCAGCTCAGGACCATATCCTTGGCCAGGCCGGCCTCCAGGTTGCCTTCCCGGCTAAGCTGTTGGGTGATTTGGTCAAGGCTGGTCAGAACAAGTTCTGAGCCCAGCAGGGGGCAAATATTACCAACATCCCCATCTGATCCTGGAGCTCCATCCCTCACCATGTTCTCAATCATGTACTGCTGGTATAGATCCAAGAGTTTCTGCTCCAGGTAATGATTCAGAAGAGAATTGGAGAAGGGCCCCTCACGACCCTGAAACAAAAAGCTACGATCACGACCACTCGTCTGTCTCCAGTGGTTTGAACCTCTCCTGAGCAGGTTCTGTAGACCTCTCTGTCCTGGTGGAGAATCCTCGACTGCAGGCGGGACATCACATGAGTGCAGGAACGGCCTCACAGGCTGCACATCAGCATAGACATTAAAATCGGCCTCACTGGTCACAAGAGGCAAAACCTGCTCACCTCCAATATGGAGGTCGCTGTAGTTTTCATAGATGCTCTGGCAGCAAGAGGGAACTAAGAAGGGGGTATCTCCACTGTCAGAGTAAGCTTGGGCTGGGATTTCCATCTCTGCAGAGGTCTGCCTCTCTGTATAAAGTGCTTGGACATGTGAGGTTAACAACGGAGGGATTTTCAGGTCGGCCGAAGCCCTCAAGGTCTCTGTGCCAGCTGTTACCTTCAAAGAGCTTGGATAAATGAGTGGAGAAGGTCTGGAGGTGGTTGGAGTGAAGGAGGTTCTGGGTGGTCCACCAGCAATTTGGAAAGTTTTTTGAGGAGGCAGCAAATCCTCCTCCATCTCCCAGTAAGTCATGCTCAGCAGTCTCCCTTCGCAAAGCATTGCTGGAAAACAAAAATCAAATAATCATTCCATGGAAGAAAAATACTCAATTTGTTTTTATCAGTTTATTTGAAATACAGCCTGACATGTAGCAATCTACACAAATAATAGAATAGAAAATCCTTTTTATTGTCCCACAATGGGGAAATTGTGGGACAATTGAGGACAGTTTTACAGTAATGGATATGTGAAAAGTAGCAGCAACACCAGAGATGTGCAAAAAAAAAGTGCCAAAAGAGAAGCCTTCAGCATCTGTTTAAAATATGTGCCATGCCCTCACAAATATGCATTCTCCTTGAACTTTAATACATTTTATAAACAGAAGCTTCATAGCTTCATATATAAAAAAAAATACTTTTATGTAAGGGGTTTTATAAAAAAAATTGTGACCACCAGACAGCTCAGGAATAAAGTTGCAGAGAACTTTAAAATAGAAACAGTTTTGTGGAAACTGAGACAGGTTGTGGTATCAAGACTTCTACGTGCCAAGATTGAGAAGAGAAAGGTGATAGGAAACTTAGGAGAAAGTATATGGATGCATTTTTGCTGTTGATTGTTTTTGTTGTTGTTTCTTGTCTGTACAACATCCTAAACAAGAAAAGACAAATTAAGTTATTCAATTTCCACCTGCAGCCTCCTAAGTTGTTATGTCCCTTGGTTTCATCTGTTCGTTGTTCTGTTGTTAACATGTTATCAGATGTATCGGAGTGGCATTTAGTTAGCGGCTCCGCTAACTGGGTTGACATAAATATGGAGGCAGCACAACTAACTAAAAGAGTTAGGCACACCACCAGTGTGACCAGTTAGTCTGGAGCCATTTTTGTTGTTGTTCAGAGTGCATCAGTGCATCAACTGATCGGATTTCTTTTCTATGTTTTGGACTTTCTTGCTCTTGTCCTGGTTCCTGATTCAGCATTAAGGTTGTATTTTTTGAAGAAGTCAGAAGGGTGGCACAAAGAAATCTATTATTTAAAAAAAGATATAAGATGTAGGCCGACGTACATGCACCATGTGGTTAGGGAAATACATACCCTAAACACAACATCTGCTTAGTGAAACTGGTGGTGGCAGGAACATGCAATAGGACAAATAATTTTATATTCAAATACTTCAAAGACAATAAGTACATGAAAGACTATGGATCTGAGCATGCAAATGTTTTATAACATTCACTTCCAGTCATATGAAATCTAAATATAGTTCAAGAAAATCTGTGCTGTATTGCCATAAAATATAAATGCATATGATTTGCATGAATGTAAGAAAATGTATATTTCTGGTATACAATTAAGGGTATTAATGAACATTTATTCATTTATCATTGCTTTTGCAGAGAAAATGTTTACCCTTCAAAATTCTAAACTTAAAAACTAATAATAATCAAAAGTCCTCCTACCTTGAACCAGAATCAAACTTCCAATTTGGAATTCTGCTTACAGCTTGTTTTTGAATCCTAGAAGATGTTCTTCTTCCCTTAAGAATGCAGAAGTTTTGGAAGAAACCTTGGAAATTTCTAAAAGTCTATCCTCTTGACAGAGTACAGCAGTCTGCATGTGTGTGAAAAGTGTTTTATATGCTCTATTAGAGGAAGTGGGACTACAGGCTTCTGTCACTCACATCTCACTTTCAGAAGCTGAACTTCAGAGCTGCTTTCAAATCAATATCTCTAAACTGTGCAGAGTTGATACACACAGCGATATATAACAGACTTTTAGAGCCATTAATTTCTGCTTCCTTATCCCAATTTATGATTTACTTTCCTCTCCTTGCATTTGGGTATTCTTCATTACATATATATATATATATATATATATATATATATATAAAAAAAAGAAATCAACAAACATATGAGCTGTGGAGAGAGACCAATAAGGTGCTGTTCCTGTGGAAAGGAAACAGGTGTTTAAAAGCAGAAGAAACTTCAAGCTGAAATATTATCAAGAATTAAGCGGTAGAGCAGACCTATTCCTCTTTTTTTGTAAAACGTGACAGGTTCCAAAGTGAAATTTTGAAGATGAAATGTCCTTCTATTGTTAGCATGGATTCAAATGGAGAAGGTGATTTAACACAAGCTTTAGTTAAGTATATCCTGTTAACTTTGTTTATTAGACTGTAAAATGTGCCATTACTGCAGTCCATAAAATATATCTCTGTTTGAATCATAATGTCTTATAAATAACACAGATAATTCTGGTAAAAGGGTTTCATGCACTTATTATAAGCATGGTTGTCATAGAAATATTCAGTTTTATTCAGCGGGAGTTCTGCAAGATAGAAAATATTTTAACCTGTTAATCATTCACAAAAAGACTTGTTAAACCCTAAAATATTTAGGTTTGTCTGATATAATAGATGTGAATTTGACACGATTAATGACAGTTTTTTTTGTCTCTATATGCAGTATAATATTTATATTGTAACGTTTGATTACATCTCCAAATGAGTCAAGTTAGTTGAACCAGAAATCTCTTTTGTTAGGATAAGAGTAAAATCGTTCAAACACAGAAAGTAGAAAAGAATAGGAACACAGGGGCCAGCCTATATATAGATATAGATATAATAGCCCATTTAGATTATAATAACAATCACCATCATAATCATAATTTATATTACTTCTCTTAAAGGTATAGAGGAGGATTTTCACGAATTTTTGAAAACACCCACCCTCTCCGCTTTAAAAAAAATAAAATGCACATGCGCGACCCTGTACCCGCTCCCGAGAGGGAACGTCTATTTAACACGTGTGAGAGCATGCAGGAACCCATCTCTCCTTGTGCAAGCTCAGTTTAAAAGTGGCTGTTAGCATCGCTCATACAAGCTTACTTTCCAAAAAAGTATTTACAATTATTCCACTATGTCAGACTCAGCACCTGTAAGTGAAAATGGGGAGGAGCATGAAGGACGACCTTACGTAAACATATCACTAGGATGATTGACAATTAGGAGGACCACTTATTTCAATGAAAAAAAAAAGAATATTCTCCACTGCACATTTAAGGCTCAATAAAGGGGGACATATGTGGCAGAGAAGAGAGAGCAGGTCACGTGTAAAGTAGGCATGGACATCGGAAAATGACAATACCTATCAAATAGGTACCAACTTAGTGCCAACCTTTTATTTATGCCAAGGGAGTATAAGAACTGACCAGAAGGGATTTTCTTTACACCAACAAAGATATGAGGCCAGCGCTCATATCTTTGTTGGTACCTTTGTTAGTACCTTTTCTTTGCTAAACTTAGATGAAATCATATTAAAGTTTAAAACCTGTTTAAGAATTGTTTACTCTAAAATGTGTTATTACAAGAGTGATCGCTAAAGGTAAACAAACCGGGAATAAGACCTGTGATGTTAGCACTTTCAGGGGGAACAAGCCTACATTATAAACCAATCTGTCTGTCTGTATGATCAAAGGATTTAACAGAATCTGCAAAGTCCTGACATGTTGTTTTTTGGTGCTGTATAAATACACTGAATTATCTTAATTAAAAGGAAAGTCTCACTCTCAGAATCTGTTTGCAATAAACCGAAACTTGGAAGACATTGACCCCGTTTAGTAAAGTATTTGTCTTAACAGAACTGAATCTTTCACAAATATCAGTTACGTGCATAAAGGGACTGTCCCTGTCAGGGGGTGGGTTTTTCCCAACATAAAAGCCCCTTCTCCACATGTCTCACAGGAGTTAGACATCTTGCTTACTTCCTCTGCTTAAGACAGGGGAGCTCAAAAACACCAGTAGCTAATCAACAGAAGAGGAAAATACTGTATTATTAATAAATAGAGGAAACACTAGACTTAAATGACTCTGAGTGAACTGAAATCCTATGCAAATGCTTATTTGCAAAATAAATCTCTCTATCAATAAAGCTTTTTGTTTTTAATATTAAATTCCAAAATGTAAAAAAAAAATAGATTACAACTTATATATCCATTATATAATGGATAAACTTCAATTATCCTTAGTTTGATCTATGATAGATGTTTATGAATTAATGGTTTTATAAGTGGGGCAACTAAAAGTCTGGACTCTGTTGTTTAGTTTATGCGTCACTCTGCTGCTGGTAATAATACCTGCCAGGGTTGCAACCACTCAGTGTAATGATAACACCAAGTGTAGAGTTACCAGACCAATTCTACAGCAATGTTGCCGAGCAACACTAAAGACATGCTGAGATCAGGTTTGAAGCTTGTTTTCAGATCTGCTTTTATTTGGTAACATCAGCACCGAGGACAGAGACTGGCCCCAGTAAACAGCTCCGACAGGGTTAGCTTAAGTTTCTCTTGCTCTTTTCCTTGGAGTAGTCTGAATGTCTGGAAATAAGGTGAGAGTCTGTAAGGATGTCTGAATCCTTTTAGAGGAATGTTCAAGAAGCTCAACAATGTGTTCCATCCCAACCATCATGGAAATAAAGCCGGGCGTAACGGCGGGATTCAGGAGGACTACCACAATGCCTGCACGGTCCGACTGGTCCGCAGCACCTCCATGCTGGTGGTGGGGGAAAAAAGTCGCTCTTCCGAGGGGTCCACTCTGACACGGAGTAAGAGCAGCGTGAGCATTGAGTCAACTCTGTACTATTACCAGAGACAAGAAGACAGGATATGGCTGTACTCACAGAACCAGAACTGTCTGGAGTACCTGGAGGCTTTGGTGGCTCTGAGAAGACAGTACACTAAGAGTGTAAGTGACTTGAAGAGCAACGATGCCAAGGCCACAGAGTCTCCAAAGAAGAAACCCACACACCCTCCACCAAAGATGGAGGAACCGGTAATATGTGTTTAAAAGTAACTGTTTCTTCTAACCTGAGTTCAAATTGTGCAGAGGATCAGTGCGAATTAGTTTTCAGGTCTTGAAACTGATTGTTGAATTGATTCCTGTTCGACCATGGCCGGGCCATTCCAGCGTAGTATTTTGATCTAAAGCCTATATATATATATATATATATATATATTACAGCTCTGGTTGTAGGTTTTAGGTTTATAGACCTGCTGATCCAAAATGCTGCAGCCAGGGTTCTGATGAAAATTTAAAAGAGAGATCATATCTCTTCTTTCTTAGCTTCTCTTCATTGGCTTCCTGTTAAATCCAGAATAGAATTTAAAATCCTCCTTCTCAAATATAAAGCCTTAAATGGCCAAGCTTAATTTTATATCAGATATATGATTGTTCCTTATGTTCCTTATATGTCTGGTTCCTAGAATGTCTAAAAGTAGAATGTTAGGCAGATCTTTTAGTTATCAGGTTCCTCTCATGTGGAACCAACTACCACTTTTGGTCCACGAGGCAGACACCCTTTCTAATTTTATGGGTAGGCTTATAGCCAGAGAGGCTCAGGTTATCCTGTGCTATCTCTATAGTAATGCTGCTATAGGCTTAGACCGCTGGAGGACATAGGGATCCCTTTTTCATCTTTCTATCTCAATTTCATTCTATCTCCATTCTCCCACTCTACAGAAGTTGTTTATAGATGTTCGAGATTGGACCGTTTTTCAGTGCAGTCCTGTTTCTCTGACTGACTGGCTAGATGTGCTCTCCTCATCCTCTGACATGGGAGCTGGCTCGGAGCTTGTCTGCCTGGCTTTGTGTTTCCTGAACAGGGCTGCCCGTGGAGTTGATTTACAGTTTCCTTTTGTATCTCTGCTTCTTTCTGTATGTCTGCTTCTGTCTTCTTGCACCCCAGTCAGCCTCGGCAGATGGCCGCTCACACTGAGTCTGGTTCTGCTGGAGGTTAAAAGGGATTTTTTCCTCTCCACTCTCACTACAAAGCATGCTTAGTGTGAGGGATTGCCTTCGAGTCAATGAGTCGATGCAATCAACTAGTTTTCCTTAGACAGAAAACTTTTAAACAATTTGACTGTATGATGTGGTTAAATTGTAAAGTGCCTTGAGATGACATGTGTTGTGAATTGGTGAATTGGGAAATTTATAAATAAAATTAGTTGTTCCTCTACCAAAAGCCAAAGTCCTTCTCAAACTAGTAGGTTTTTTCCACAAATATCCTCTGTTTAGTTTAGTCCTTGTTATTTGCTCTCTAAGATGCACTCTCCTTGACTGACCTGTCAGTTTGGTTGGACAGCCATGTAGGTTTACAGGTGTGGCATATGCTTTCCATTTATAGTTTATTGACTAGAAATACCTTTTTGAGACATTCAAAGCTTGCAATATTCTCTTACAACTTGACCATGCATTTAACTTCTACCTCTAACCTACAACTTTGCTGGTGTGTTACTTGTTCTTCATGGTGTTTGTTCGTCACTGATCATCTTATAGGAGTAGCTAAGATTAAATAAAACACAGGTGGATCCAGTTTACTAATTGGTGGCTTCACAGATGATTTTTCAAGGTTTTTATTTGAGGACATTTTAGTAAAGGTAGGTGAAAACTCCTTTTTTTGTGAACATCTATATATGTATTTTATCGTTTACCCTTACACTTCAACACCATGCACTATTTTGTTTTGGTCTATGACTAGAGATGCACCGATCCAACACCTGGATCGGATATTGGCTACGATGTTGACTAATTACCTGG